CTTTACAGAAGAGTGGCTTTTGGCGGATTTAAACATCAAACAGGAAAATTGTTCGTCGAATGTGTCTCGATCAGTCAGCAAAGACCATATTAAATATAATAAGCAGGATTGGGTAAGTTTAATTTTTTTTAACTAAGTTCAATTAAAGTTAATAGCTTTGAAAATTTAACTTAGTTAAGATAAAGTTAATCCATAATGAAATTAATTGAATTAAAAGTTAAGTTAATAAAAAAAATAATTAAAAAGTTAAAAGTTAAATTTGTTTAATTTCATAACTTCAGGGTTTCAATTTTACAAATAACGAAAAAACAAATATACATCTTATTTGGAAACATGTTTTATTTACAGAAACTTATTAAATTTAAGTAATAAAGTTTTTTCGAAAGGATCCCGGATTAATCTTATGAAAAAGTGGTTTTAGTCGAATTGCCTAAAACTATGATATTTTGTAGCTTATGAGGTGCTGATAAAAAATCTTCAACAAAAAGTGTGAAAAATGGATAGTTTTTTTCTAGCGCCATTAGAAAGTTGATATTTTAAGTCTAACCGAACCTTTACCTACAATACACAGATTACTTTTTTTAATTATATAGGCATTTATATACAGGGTTGGCAAAAAGTCCGGAAACGGTCAAATATCTCGAAAAGGATCAACTGTAGCGAAAAATAATAGCAAAGTTGTAGGGCTTAATAAAATGTACCTAATGATGGCTAAAAATTTGACTTTGGGTGGAGAACGAAGATCATACGAAAGTCAAATTGAATTTTTTAAATTGGATCCCCCACTTTTTATTACATATTCTTGTAGCTTATTTTAAAGGCTTTCCAAAAACCTATAATAAAGTATTTTTTTATTAGGTATATTTAGAGTTATAAAACTTGAAAGTTAAAGTACCGCCGGCATTAGCATAACCCAAGGTGCACCGCGTGGAGGTTGCACGGTTGGATTTGCAACTCGTGTGTGTGTGTGTGTGTGTGTGTGTGTGTGTTGCAGCAGAGATTAGGACCCCACGGTTCGTCACTTCCGCGGTATTTAGTGACTCCAAATCCTCTTTGCTGTGTGTAGGTAACATACCTTTTAAAATATCGTTTCCCACTTTCTCAATTAATGTTCAAAATTTCTTCCTTCTACCATTTGACAATGAGCTAGACGCTCATAGAAATTATTGATCACATTTCTTATTTGTTCTAAAGTGATCAGAAATGCTTCCTGTGTTATTCGGTTGCTAAGGTCTTCCAAATTATGTGATTTTGTCGCATAAACCTTACTTTTAAGATGTCCCCAAAGAAAATAATCAAGAGGAGACAAATCAGGTGATTTAGCCATTCAATGGTACCTCTCCTACCTATCCATCGATCAGGAAAAACACGGTTTAGAAGTTCTCGAATTCTTACTGCATAATGAGGTCCTGCTCCATCTTGCTGGAACCATATATTTTGCATGTTTGCGTCAAATAAATTTTTAATTTCAGGTATAATATGATCTCGCAATAAGTTTTCATACTTTTCAGCATTCAAATTACCATCTATAAAAAATGGGCCAATAATACCGCGACTACAAATTCCTGCCCAGACATTCAATTTTTGTGGATACTGTGTGCGAAGATCACTCATCCAATGTGGATTGTCATCACTCCAATATCTACAATTGTGACGATTAACAGCACCGTTTATTTCAAATGTGACTTCGTCAGAAAAAATAACAAAATTTAAAAAATTAGCATCATTACTTCAATGCATCATTTCTTCACAAAATTTAATTCTTCTATCACAATCGTCTTCCATAAGTTCTTGAGTGATCATAATTTTATAAGGATGATATCTCTGCCTTTTTAAAATGCTTCTAACACTGCTGTAACTGATATTATGGGCTTGCGCTGCTCTTGGCACAGATAAATGAGGATTTTCTTGAAATGATTGCAAAACATCCAAACTATTATCATCATTTGTTGCGGATTTTGGCCTTCCGCTGTGAGGTCGGTCTTTAACTGTTTCTGTTTCGTGAAAACGTATCACTGTCTTCTGAACGGTGGATTTAGAAATAGGATTGCGATCAGGATATGTAGTATTGAATAGATCAGCTACTTCTTGATATGATCTAATGCGGTCTCCAAATCCTCGATAAATAAGCAGCATTATTCTTTCTTTTCCGGTCAACATTTTGGAAAAAGAAATTTGAAATTGTAATTGGAAAAAGAAAGAGAAAAGACAGAGTGAGATACGAGAGAGCGCGACTCGTTTTTTAAAATACAAAGATCGAGAAGCGTTATCGTGAAGCGCGGGTATGCGCGAGTTTCGACTGAGTACGTGTGATATTACGTCGTGAATGAATAATCGCGTTCGATGAGAGCGAATGAACAACTAAGCCGGTCATATCGTCTAGCTTGAGACACGAAAAACAAAGTTATTCTTGTTTTTCTCTTGTGTTTATGTTTTTTAGGCTCCCAGCCTAGTTGTTCATTCGTTCTCATCGAACGCGGTTATTCATTCACGACGTAATATCACACATATTCAGTCAAAACTCGCGCATACCCACGCTTTACGATAACGCTTTTCGATCTTTGTATTTTAAAAACGAGTCGTGCTCTCTCGCATCTTACTCTTTGTCTTTTCCCTTTCTTTTTAAACTACAATTTCAAATTTCTTTTTTAAAAATGTTAACCGATAAAGAAAAGATAATGCTGTTTCTTTATCGAAAATTTGGAGACCATATTAGATCATACGAAGTACTTGATCTACACATTCAATGCTGCATATCCTGATTGCAATTTTATTTCTAAATCTACCGTTCAGAAGACATTGATACGTTTTTACGAAACAGAAACAGTTAAAGACCAAACCGCATTTCAAGCCTCATAACTCTAAATATGCCTAATAAAATAAAATACTTTATTATAAGTTTTTGGAAAGCCCTTGAAATAAGCTATAAGGATATGTAATAAAAAGTGTGGGGTTCAATTTAAAAAATTCAATTTGACCTTTGTATGACCTTCGTCCTCCACCCAAAGTCAAATTTTTAGCCATCATTAGGTATTTTATTAAGCATTAGGTATTTTATTACAACTTTGCTACTTACATATTTTTCGCTACAGTTGATCCTTTTCGAGATATTTGACCGTTTCCGGACTTTTTGCCAATCCTGTATAGCCATACGTGTGTCCATTATTAAATAGATTCATGTTTCAGTGTATCCCAGGTAGTAGACTCACATCAAAATGACATCCAAATCTGGTCAGTTCATGACCAAAAATGACCAAGGAATGACCAAAAATGTCGTGAAAATGTCATCAAAATGACGGTCTCCCAAGGAGAACAGAAAAGTCAAAATAATGTCAATTTGATATTATATTGACTAAATTTCGTCATGTTTTGGTCTTAAGAAAAATCTCAATCTCAAATGACTTAAAAATGACTTTATATTGACTCCTTTTTTTATATAATAATTTCTTTTTTACTTTATGCTGATGCGGACACTGTATCGCCCGTGTGACAGAATTGGTGAATCAATTAAAATGTTATTGTCAAAACCTCAAACGATTTTTGTTATAATTTTTTCTCTTTTTGTTAATTAAAAGTTATATATTATAAGCAAATGAATTAAATTATATTGTATATATATATGTAACGATGCATATCGTTACGTAATAATAACAACGCAAGCCGAACACCGTGAACCGAAAGCGCAAGAGGAC